CCAGCCCTCTGGAATGACCTCCCCATGGAGATCTAGACCCTTGCTACCCCCCCGGTCTTTCGCAAAACCAACAAATTCTGGCTGCTCCAGCAGGCCGGGGGGGGGGTTGTGAAATATCCAGCCCAATGGAAACTGTGAATGTTGCGTATTTTAAAGTGTTGTTTTTGTCTATTTATCCCCCTCCCCTTGTTTATTGTGAGCCACCCGGAGTCTTTTGGGAGTGGGCGGCATACAAGACAAATAAACTAAACTAAACTAAACTAAACTGCTATTGCTATTGCTATTGCTATTGCTACTTTTCTCTCCCTTAACTATCTCTCATTGACCACCCCAATGTAACCAATCAGGTTCAGTCAAGATGTTTCATGATGATCAGTCCAAGCGCATTTTGGTATGTGGCTCTCTCCTTTTTCCAGCTGGATCACCTTGAGGCAGCATCTCAAGGAGATACAGCACTTACTTTCATTTCCCCCTTCATTCCCCTTCTCCACAGTTTATGACAGGCTCTCACTGCATAGCAGCAAAGCACAAGCAAGCACAAAGTGGCAGCTGACATAGTCTCTAATGTACATACGAACATATTTTTTTCAAAAAGGTAATAATAATTGTGTGGATTCATCAAATAATATAAATCATCTGAATGTCTAGATTTTGGATTTCCTTTTGGATTCCTATTCTATTTTTTGTAACATTTTATTTCATGAAGAGTTCTGGAAAATTCAGTCAGCCTTGTATTGGGGTTCTTAAATACATTCTAAAAAAATAAAATAAAAAGAAGAATTTATTAGATATGTACAAGAAAAAAAATGAGAATACTTTTTGAAGAACTGTTGAAGAACTTGAACAAGTTGACATGGCTACAAAACTTTTCCCCAATTGCTTCCCCCCCACTTGAATGAAGAAAAGATGTCAAAATCTTTTAAGTGACAAGACTGAAGTCTAACCAAATAGGAAAAGCGGCTAGAAACCTACCTGAATTTTTTGATTGGAGACTGCTTTTCCTGGGCAGTTGCAAAATGTCCAGAATAATAAACGGGAAAAAACATAATATTCCAATTTGTAGAAAACCAAGTCATGAAAAATGGATAATCAAAGTGCTTGTATGTGATTTTGACAATCTGTGTTGTTCCAATCCAAGAGGATGAGACTGACAAAATAATTAGAAATCCCCAGAGGATCTTGAGAAATGTAGATGTACAAGACTCACAGCGGGTCTGTGCGTGGCTCTCCTGGCTGATGTTTTCAGCTTGAGTTTGTGTCCCTTCTTCTCCTACAAACAAAGGCAATGAAGATAATTAAAGAAATGAAGGTTACATTGGAGACCAGTGCATTGTCCTGGTTAATGAAAAAGGAGGAATCACAAGAAACCGTAACATTTCAAACTACTGTTAACATCCAGACAAAAATGCATGGTTCGTGTTGTCAGAAACAGTGGCTTCTGTTTGCATGAGTTTGGGGAGCTTCTGTTTCAGCACAACTGGAAGATGCCAAGATGGGAAATGCTGACCAAGATTTCAAGAAGAGAAGGAATTAGGAGAAGGCGGAGCCAACATCGCAACAATATGGACGTGCGGTCTCAATGCTCTGAGACCGCTGCCAATACTTTTGCTGCTAGGTGGTCCAATCGGACTTAAACCATCCCATAGAGATGGTGAACAGGAAGAATACATCTTGCTGATCTCAGGTTAACCGCAAAGTCCCTGATCGATCCAAGAGAAGTTCTTCAAGCCAGCGACAAAAAGTCCAGCCCCAGGCTGATGAAGTTGGGACTGCTCCGGAATGGAAGGGAAGCAGAAAGAGAAAGTGTGTCCATCTGGTGAGGAAACTTTATTGTTTTGGAAAAGACTGCCAATTTTTTTTAAAAGTTAAATTAAATCCGAAAGCAGAAGAAAATAAGCAGTGAAATTAACCTATATTGGATTGATTTGAATAGTGTGTTTAATTTTACTTTGTGGATTGAAGTGCTCGCAACTTTTTTTTAAAGAGAACGGATCAGTTTTTCTTCTTTTATTTTTTTATTTTTGGTTAAACAAACACAACACAATAAAATAAAATAAAATAAACTTTCGTTACATATTGTAGAAGTGTGTCGATTGGTTACAAATAACTTTCGTGCATCTCTTCCACAGTCATTACTTATAATTCATATTGCATTGTATATTTTAAATCAAAAATCTTTATATATCTTACTATCAACATCCCACAATTCTCATTTGACTATACCTGTTTTAATGTCCCTTTGCTTAAAATAATCCAAAATTGAAAAACACAACTACATGACACTTCATTAATTATTTCTAATATCATCCAATAACATTACTCCTTTATAACATGTTCTAGGTAAGAATTAATTATGATTGCTAATAAAATTTCTAATCCTCTTTTCCAAGTTGCTGTTTACTATTTGTATCCTAATACTTTTTATTGAGCCAGTACATATATATATTGTTAA